GGTGAATTGGGGCATGGCAGAGCTGCTGCTCAGCTGGCACTGTGGGGTGCAGGTGCTGCTGCTTTGGGCATGCAGAACCAAGGAGAAATGTGCTATGGACAAGTAGAACCAAGGAGAAATGTGTTTTATGGGGGTTTCTTTTCAGAGTGGCTGGGTAGGGGCATTGTGTCACCCCACTTGTCCAAACCATCTCCTGCTGGTGGCTGAGCTCTGGCAGAGAGCAAGATCAAACCTCACCCTCACGGGAAGGCGCCACCACGTTCCCCCCAGGGAAACCACCTGGGAAAAACGAACAAAACCTGCCCAAAATCTCCTTTTTGCACCTTTGGTGCTACACCCGTGCTGCTTCTCGTTTGCCATGTGAGATCAGAGGCACACTGAGGAAAACCACTGCAACAAAGAGAACTAAAAAAAGCCAAGTTATATAAAATAAAGTTCCTTTGCTCTCTGTCTGTTGTGGAAGATTGTCATGGAAACATTTTTTTTTTCGGAGAATAAATTCGTTTTCTGTGAATAATGTCCACAGAGCTGAGGGAGAGAGAGTGTGTTATTTATCTAGAAAATCTTTACTGGAGACACCTTTTTTCCTGGCTCCTGACAGTTGTAAATGTTTTATCTGCTGTGTTTTAAATCACTACAAAGGAGGGTTTTACCTGGGTCTCAAGGGCAGTAGGATGGGCTGGTTGGGCTTTTCTCTTCCCTAAAGCCAGAGAGCTGAGTTGGCATTAAATCAGGGCCTTCTTTAACTCCAATTCTAAAATGTGAAACAGGGGCTGTTTAATGGGAAACATCCCCCACAAGAAGATGGGAGATGGGGAGATGCTGTCTGCTGGAGTTAGGAGGGTGAGTTATGGATTGTTTTCCCTGAGGAAAGTTTTCCCTGATGGCTGCTCCCACCTGGAGTTTAGAGCTTTCCTCCAGGGCTTTGCCATGTCAGGAGTGGGGGTCAGAAAGCCCTTTTTGTGAGGAAACAGGGAGATTTTGGACAGCAGTGCTCAGTTTTTGCATGCAAAGCCATCTGTGGCAGGCGCTCAGAGACAAGGCTGCTCCTTGCAGGAAATGTCCCCGGCCTGGGGGCTGGTTTTGACAGGGATTTCTCTGGGAACCTCTGAGTGCATCCTCGTGGATGTCTGTGCCTGGCTTCCTGCCACACCGCTTCCATCAGCCTCTGCACAATCTCTCCTGGCTTGTGCAGACATCCTGAGAGGCCAGCACGGTGGAAATGTGAAATGTGCAGCCCTCCCTCGCATTAACTGGCTGCCCCTTTAATGAGCTGACACTGAGAGGGTGCTGGGAGTGATTTCTTTCTGCCAAAGGCCAGACAGATCCCCTCTGTGACCCCTCAAGATAAGCCATGGATCAGGTTCCTTCCCATGGATGGGGCCGTGCTGTGCTCCTGCTCCCCAGGCAGTGTCTGGCATCCGTGCCTGCTGCAAATGCTGCAGCTTTGGAAAGGAAAAATGTGCTATGGACATGTAAAAGCAAGGAGAGAAATGTGCTTTGGTCATGTAGAACCAAGGAGAAATGTGTTTTATGGGGGTTTCTTTTCAGAGTGGCTGGGCAGGGGCACTGTGTCAGCCCCATTGCCCCCAAACCATGTCCTGGTGGTCCCTGAGCTGTGAAAGCCTGGCTGTGCCAGGGATGCTGAGATGTCAGGATGTGTCTGTCTGTCTGTCTGTCCTGTTTGAACAATGAGATGACAGGGAAAGGGCGGCTGGCTCTATGGAAACAGCCGAGCAGAGCTCCAGGGAAGGAAGGATAATCTCAGTTCCCTGTGGAACATGGCACAAAGCTCCCCATAAATGTCATGTTGAAGAGGAGTAGCCTGAGTTTGCCCAATTTACCTTTTGGGATGTTCATTTTAATTTTATTCAAGAGCTTTCTCTTATCAGAAATCTTTGCCCCATGCAGGTGCTTGCAGGAAACCATGGAGTCAGTGCTCAGCATTCTCTTAATTAAATGTTTTGTAATGTCAGTTAATCCAACAAGCAGTTCTTGGACCTCAGACTGCTCTGAAGCTCTTCTCAGAACTCTTTCCAAAACTTCAGCATAAATTTTTAATTACATAATTTAATTAATTTATTCTAAGAATAGTCCCCAGTGCCTTGGACAGGTGTAATTAATACCTTTTCTTATCTACCAAATACATCCTGCTTATGCTTTTGGGGATTATGTTTAAGTTGGCTGTGCCACCAAGAGGCTTTAGGTTCATTTGCTTATCTAAAGTCTTCCTGAGTCCCTTTCTAGCACTTTCTGGCATGTTTGGGCTGTAGGGAATTGGTGGGATGCTGGTTTTACCCCTGCTGTATTTCCCTCCAGGCCAAGTACATGAGTGAATGTACTCGAAGTACATGAGTGAATGTACTCGAAGTACATGAGTGGATGTGTTCTGAGCTATTCTCTTGTCTGGAGGAGTTTCTGTGTCTTCAGGGGCTGATTTCCAGCTTTCCTGGCTGCCTCTGGCCTGAGGCATCCTGCCTGCTCAGACATTTATCCTGGGGCTGTGCATGGCTACACCCCAAACTCTTGGCTTTGTCAGGAGAAAAGGAAACATCTCAGTGACTCCTCCCCACCTTTTCTGATTGCTGATTTTACTACAATTGGAGCAAATGCTGGAACACCCTTGTTCTGTAGTGCTTTATTTCCCAGGATCCTGGAACTTGCTGTATAAAAACCCCACATTCCTTTACTGAGCTGTAAAATTTGCTAAGCTGTAACAGTTTAGAGAAAAGAATAAACCCTACCCAGAGAATGAAATTGGCATTTTCTAGTCCTTGGAGTTGGTTGTGATGAACAACTTGTTCTGTGCCTGGCTGGGTGGTTGCCCAACATGAGATGTCCTTGAAGGGGTTGGTTTTGGGTCTGTTTAATGGGATTTGAATTGGCCACCCAAAACCACCAGCTGCTTTTTGAAAAGGGAGCTCAGATTCTTGTGGTGAGAACAGTGGGAAATACAAAGCAAGCTGCAAGTGAAGCCAGGCAGCTATGGCTGCAAACAAGAGAGGAAAGAAACTGAATTTATTGCTGCCTTGGGCACAGCTAAAAGAAGAAAAAGCTGGGGATGGACTCTCAGGAGTGATGCAAGTCACAAAATATCTCCATGGTTCTGGTTCTTTGTGTCATTCTCCTGGCTGAGGTCAAGGGGGACAGTAAAGGTTTGGGATTTGCAGTTTGTTTCTCCTCCTGGCCCTTCCCTCACCTGTGTCCCGTGTGCTGCAGCCCATCCTGGAGGGTTTTTGGAGAGCAGCACACATGTTGCTCATAGGATGTGTCACAGCAGAACCTTCAGGAAAAGGAATTCATTCCAGCAGTGTGATTCTAGGACTCAGGAACCAAAAATATGGGCTCTTACTCATCTTTGTATCTCATAACACAGAATAACCTAAAGCATTTATCTATTTACACAGCACAGCCTTAGCCAAAAAGCAGAGTGGCGAGAGCCACTGTTGCTACATATTGAGAGTAATTACTTGCTTTATCATTTATTTTTTTATTTCTGTGCCAGTGTTGGCCAGGAACTCGAGTCAGGAGCCCTGAGTTGGGCTGATGCAGGGACCAAGAGCCCCTCCTTGGAGCTGGGGAGAGCAGAGCAGCACATGTGGACATGTATAATGTGATTTTGTATAATGTGCTTTTTCTATAATGTGATCTCTGTATAATGTGCCTTTTGTATAATGTGCTTTTTGTACAATGTGTTTTTTCCTCTCAGTGAATTAGGGGTGCCTCACCAATATCAATAACAGATTGCTGCTCCATACTGCTACCGCTCCATGCTTTGTACCTTGCAGCTGTGATAAGCACCAGCTTTTAATTTATTTTTTAATTTATTTTTTATTTAACTTTGTGTTGCGCTGCCAACGTACAGTGTGCTGTCTCCTGTTTGTGTGACCTGTGCATCTGTTTGTCCTCAGCAGAGTAACTCCTGTGCTTTGCTGTCTGAACACTCCTCTGTGCTCAGCTCCATCTCATCAGCTGGAAGAATGTACAATTTCAGTCTGTTTCCTTGGTGAATCACCTGGGGCTCTCAGAAGGGCTGGAATCCAGCTCTGATTTACCTGTTGTTTTATCTGAGGGCTGAATGGTGTCTCTTTGGTGTGAGTAGTCAGCAATGCCAGGTGTTTGTGGTCCTGAGGCAGCTCTGGAGTGTGTGTTCACCTCACCTCTTTATCAGGATGATTTTTCCATAGTAGGAACACATTCAACAGCACACTCAGCACTGTTGGCTCCTGGCTCCTAGCACACACTAGGAAACCCAAATTCCTGCAGTTTTCCCCTCCAATTCCAAGGCATTCATGTTCAGATGACCCTGAACATTTCCAGGCATGGAGCAGCCACATCTTCTCTGAGCATCCTCAGGGCCTCCCCACCTTCACAGCCAGGAATTTCTTCCCAATATCCCACCTAACCCTGCCCTCTGGCAGTTTGAAGCCATTCCCCTTGCCCAGTTCCTCCAAGCCCCTCTCCAGAGAAGAAGCAGAAAAAAGAAAGGTGCCAGGAGAGTGGTACCAAAATGGTTTTGTTTTCCGTAGTGTGTTTTTTATGCAAATCATGCAAAGCCAACACTTGACTGCGGTTAAGGAAATTGTAATGAAAGGATATCATCTCCAGTGGCGTACTGGAAGCCAGGAAAAGCCAAGAACAAAAAAGCCAAAAACAGCACTTAAAAGTTGTAAACACCAGCCTGGAGGCTTTGAGCGAGCAGCTGCCTGAGGTGTGTCAAGTGTTTGTGGGTGCTCAGTGGGATTGTCCCCTCTCCTGTATTCCTGATTTCCTTGTAGGGATTTTGGAGTGTCACTGTGCAAGGAAATAAAGGGTGGGAGAGCAGCTCTTCTTCCTCTGACCTGTGCAGATGTGCCTGAAGCCATGGTGGTGTGCCAGCTGAGAGGGCACATCCCTGTGACCTCTGTTTTTTTTAATGGTTGTTTGTACAGCCTTAGAGCTACAAACCATGGCTGTGGCAGCTAACAAAGCTAACAAGCCCCTGTCCTGCTCCTCCCCAGGTGGCAGTGAAGGTGATTGACAAGAAGAGGGCCAAGAAGGACACCTATGTCACCAAGAACCTGCGGCGTGAGGGGCAGATCCAGCAGATGATCCGGCACCCCAACATCGCCCAGCTGCTGGACATCCTGGAGACTGAGAACAGCTACTACCTGGTCATGGAGCTGTGCCCTGGCGGCAACCTCATGCACAAGATCTACGAGAAGAAGAGGCTGGAGGAGCACGAGGCCCGCAAGTACATCCGGCAGCTCATCCTGGCCGTGGAGCACCTGCACAGGGCTGGGGTGGTGCACAGGTGAGATGGGGGCTCAGCTCCTCTCAGGGTGTCTGTGTGTGCTGGGGGATCTCCTGGTGCTCCTGAGGGCTTTGTGGCTGCTGCTGCTGGTGTTTGGGTGCTGCTCCCTTGGGCTGTGCCTGCAGGAAGCACCAGCAGCTCCACAACCCTCCATGGTCCTCATGGGTTCCTTCCAGCCCAGCATTGTCACCCTGATTTTTTAAGATTTTCTAAGCCTTCTGATGTTTCCATTGTTGTAGTGAACTTTCTCACACACTCTGTGTAAATAACTCATTGCTTTGCATTCTTTTGTGGAGGAGAAATTTGGTGGGCTGTTGGTTTGTCCAGTGCCATTGGAGAGGTGGCACTTTCCAATCCACTGCCACTCTTGGAAATCTATCACTATTAGAGTTAAATATTTTATATGTATAACTATATAAAATATATAAAAATATAAAAAATAGATAAAAATAAAAAATATATTAAAAATATAAAAACCTTTTACCTTAGAAAGAGCAACATTGTGTTGTTTCATGTCCTGTAGTGACACAAATATCCTATAGGATATTCTGTGGTTCTGTGCCACTAAAGAGAAGGTACAATCCAAAAGCAGGGCCCTTTCCCTCCCCAAAGCTCTGCCCTAGAAGGAGAGCAGGAGGAAATAATGAATTATTTCAGTATTTTATGGAGAAGGTGGTTGTGCAAGCCCCTTGGGGAAGTGCAGCAGGGTAGGGGCTGAGCTGGTTTGCCCAAAGCCTGGCAGTGCTTAAAGTTAAATAAAAAAATCCCCAGCAATCCCTGGCTCCTGCTTCCCTGCTCTTTGCACTTCTGCATCACCTCAGCAGGGTGGAAGTAGCCAGAGCACCACCTCCTTTCCTCAGCACCTTCATCCACAGAATTGCAGACGTGCTGGGTTGGAAGAACCTCCTCCAGGGATCATCCTGGCCCTGCTCAGGACACCCCAAAAATCGCACTCTGTGCCTGGGAGCACTTTCCAATGTTATGGGCAGAGTTAGGTGATGCCACATCATCCAGTTTGCCCAGAGTGTCATAGGTTCCTCATTTAGTGCCTGCTGTTTGACATGTTGGCTTTGATAATTATTAATTTTAAGCCTTTTCCAGCCACTCCTTGACTCTGTGCATGAGCATCTCCTGGCAGGGGATGCTGTGGAGCTCACCTGGGCTCCGGGGGGAACAGGAAAAGCTCAGCAGGGAGGAGGATGATGAATAAAGAGAGGCTGGGAGGGTGCAGTGGAGGTGTCACCTGTGGCTGTCCCTTTGTGCTCTGTGCTGCCATGGAGCCAGCAGGGTGGTGGGCAGGCTGGACCTTGGGAGCCAGCACCTCTCCCCTCCTGTTCCTGGGTGTATTTATAGGGAGCTGCGCTAAGAAGGAGGCTCTGCTTGCTAAATTTGGCCCAGCTGGTGCTAAGTCTGGCCTCCCACACAGTTCCCATCTGAGGCTGAGCGAGTTGTGTGGGCCCCATCCATCCCTTCTCCTGGCTCCTGTGGGCACGCTGCAGGAGCCAGACATCTGAAAATGCTCCTCAGGAGCTGCCCACAGCCAGCCCCTCCAGCTGTGCCCAGCTGTGCCCTGAAGCTGCTTTTTCCCTTGCCTTGGGCTCTGTGTGCTCCCTGGGATCCATCAGGGATAACACACTGCCTCTGCTCCCACCTCCAGCTGCATTTCAGGTGCCACTGTCACAGAAATATTGGAGCAGGCACCAGGCTCTCTGTCAGCCTCAAAACTGCTGATCTCTTTCGATTATTAAGCCCACAGCTTGAGGCAGGGATAAGGAAGAGGTTTTACAGCTTTCAGGGATCAGCTGATACCCAGTGTTTAGACAGAGGGAGAGATAAAGGTAATAAATCTGTTAAAATGTGTAAATCAAGTGTCTGAGATGGGCAGAGGAAAGCCAGGCAGGAACAGATGAACATGATGAGGTTTTAGGAGCAGGATTGGGTGAGCAGCAGCAGCAATTCCTCTCTTTGCAAAATTCACCTTCTGCACAGTGGCCAAGGCATTACAGGGGGCTGGCAGGCTTGGCTTTGGTCCTGCTCTCTTTGAGAGAAAGACTCAAACCCACATTTGGTGCAGAAATAGCTTGTTCCCTCAGCACAGGCTGGAATCAACAGGCTGCTGTGGTGAGAGGGAGGCAGGGCTTTGGGCCAGGGAGAGCCTGAGTTCCTCTGGGGATGCTGAATTCCTGTGTGGATGCTGAATTTCTGTGTGGATGCTGAGTTCCTGAGTGGATCCTGAGTGTGGATCCTGAGTTCCTGAGTGGATCCTGAGTTCCCTTGTGTGGATCTTGAGTTTCTGTGTGGATCCTGAGTGGATGCTGAGTTCCCCTGTGGATGCCAATCCCTGCCCCACAGGCAGCCTCCTGCCTCCACCCTGTTTCTCAGATCACTCCTTGGGAGGTTCCACACAATGAATGAGCAGGTCTAATTCTGCCCAGAGTGCTAAAACCTGACAGAATCATATCTGCCAGCATTTTCTCTGCCTTAACCCATTCAATGAGTTCCCTTCTCCTGCAAGCAAAGAGTGGAGAGGAGTGTGGGGATGCAGGAAAAGCCCTGGTGGTGTGATCTGGGTTTATTCTCTCTGAGCAAACAAGGGAGGAAAATCAACAATTACCTCAGGAGTTGTCCTTCAGCATCTCGGGCCTCTGGCTGTGGCAGCTCTAAAAACAGGCTGCTCAATCAGCTCCTGAGAGAGGGAGGGAAAAAATAGTGCAGGAGGCTGATTCATCCCCTGCCTGGCTGCAGGGGCACTGTGCTCTTGTTGTTGTTGTTGTTGTTGTTATTTTTGCAGCAGGTAAAAATACCGGCCCTGCCATGTGAGTGGGGATGAGGGGGTGTTGGGTTTGGCCACGTGTGCAGCAAACTGCAGCATCCCCAGCCAGAATAGGGGCTGCTGGTTCTCCCTCTAAATTCTTCCCATGCAACGGGGCAGGGCCCTGGGAAGATTTTTGGCGGCATTTTTTGTTCTATTGCAAACAAAAAAAAATGTCAGGTTTTGTCTGTGTTATTTGGGGGGTGGTGTGGATGGCTTAGCCTGTCCCACTTGGGGTGAAAAACCCCAGATTTGATGAAAGTGGCATGAAATTTGCTTGCGTTGCTCAGAAAGCTGCATGACTTCCAGTCCAGACTGGGCATGGCAGATCACTGCTCCTTGGACAAGAGCAGGCACCCAAAATTCAATGGAAATGCTTTTGTTATGAGGCACTGATGTGTGAGCAGCCTGAAATTAAAGCACTTCAAAAAGTCTCATTTTTATTTAGAGGTGTAAAAATACCCCCAAACTCATTTCTGACTGTGTGGATGTGTTTTAAAGTTCTAAATATGTCATCTGCTGAGGTGGGGGAAGTCTGCAAGCTGCAGGGTGCAGGAGCTGCTGCATTTTGCTGAGGGGTGCCCAGGGTTCAGAGCTCCTGGGCTGCTCACTGGAAGCAAAATGCCACTATTCTATTTATAATCCCATGCTATCATTTGGGTTGCTTTCCCTCTATCAGGAGAGCTGCTAAAAATACGCTTGCCACAAGCTCAGCTGTGAATCAGGTAGGAATATTTATCTTTTCCTCCCCCTGACAGAGGAAAACAGAACCAAATGGCAGGCTCTGGTGGAGCTTTCTCCTGGCAGAGGGTGTTTACACAGGTCCTGGTGCTGTCACAAAGCAGCATGAGCAATGAGCCCTCTGGGAGCACAGAGACAGCAGGGAAAATGAAGTGAAAGCCTTGGTGCCTCCCACAGGAAACTCTCAGCCACCCTTTTAAAGTCATTTTAGCAGAGCTCAGGCCCATTCAGGGCAATTGCTGTCACGGGGAAGCACTGGGTGGTGTGTTGGTAGCAAAGGTGGATTGCTGCATTGCCCTTTTCCTGCCCAGGTCAGGAGTTGAAGGAGATGAAAAGCCTGGAGTTCTGGGCAGAGCTGGGGATGCCACACGCTGCAGTTTGCTCAGAGTGCCACAGGATCCCTCCTTTGGTACCTGCTGCTTGACATGGTGCCTTTGATACCTTCCAGCCTGTTCACTGGGAGTGCCAGCAGCCTGGCTGCTCATGCAGCATTGATGACAGACCCTGCTCTGCACAACAAACTCTCCTTTTGAAGCCTGGGGCTGCTTCCTTCTCTGCTTTATTTCAGATCTCAGAACTGCCTTTGGCCATTCTCCCTGGTGAAACAAACTAAACACCATTTTAGTGAGGACAAAGGGCCGGATTCCTCTTTTACAGAGGCAGCCGCATGGAATCCAGTGGCAGAAGGGTTGGGCTCAATGATATTTTGATATCAAAGCCTTTGAAATGTACATTGGTACATAAATGTGGTGATGAACCCCAATCTCTGCAGCCTCTCAAGGCTTGAGGCCTTGAGATTTGATGGTTAAGGAGTGATTTTCTGTGATTAAAAATAAGCTTCAGGAGAGAGCAGCCAGCTGCTGCTGCTGTGCAGCTGCTTGCTGGTGGAACCCTCCCTCTCATCCTGCCTCCCCCAGACAAGAAACAAAGTGTGAAATGCAAAACTTCGCTTTTGCAGCCTGCCATGCCGTGGGATAAACTGCTGTGGGAGCAGCCCATGGGCTCACCTGCTCAGGGATTCACTTGTGTTCCTGTCTGCAGGCTATTTGGGCTTCCAGGGCGCTCCAAAGAGATAAACCAGCCCCAAGGGACAGCAGCACAGACTCCCAAAGGAGCTCAGCCCATGGAGATGGAGTATTTTAAATGCAGGCAATGCCAACTGTGTGCTGCCAGCTCCAGAGCTGAGGAGACAGAAATATCTGCTGTGGGAATGCAGCCTAGCCCTCCTTGCCTTCATTTTTCCTGGATTTGGGTAATTTCTCCCATGGTTAGACACTCCCAGCATCAGGGAACTGATCCCTTAGGCAGAGGTGGCCCTTCTTATTCCTTTTGCTTTTAATGCCTGACACTGGATTTAAGTTTTTCAGCAGTGAATGCTGAGAATTGGCTTATGGGGGGAAAACCCATAAAATAATCCTTTAGTTGTGCTGGTTTTTTGGTTTTTTGTTTGGTTGGTTTTTTTGGGATTTTTTGGGGTTTTTTGTTGGGATTTTTTGGTTTTTTTTTTAGTTTTTTGGTGGTTTTTTGTTTGCTTTGATTTGGGTTATTTTTGTTTTGTTTATTTGGTTGGATTTTTTGTTTGGTTGGGGTTTTTGGGTTTTTTTTGTTTTTTTTTTTTTTTGATTGGGTTTTGTTTCTTTCTTTGTTTGTTTGTTTTGTTGGTTTTTTTTATTATTTTTGTGGGTTTTGGTTTTTTGGTTTTTTGTTTTGTTTTGTTTTTGAGGAGCTACGACAGTAAAGGAACCAGATCAGATTGACTTCAGGGGGGAAACTGAAAGTGTCCAGAGTTCCTGCTTTGCTGCAGTGGAAAAATAAACAACAATAAACACACGAAGTGTTTGGAGACCTGCATTTCATGCAGTGTGTGATAAAGGGTTTGGGACATTAAAAGCCAAAACATTAAAACTCAGTGAAAGGTGGTGAAGGGTCTGGAGCACAAGTCTGAGGAGCAGCTCAGGTGAGCTTCCTTTTGTAAAAGACAATTCGAGTCTGTATTGGACAGAAGTGGCTCAGTAAAGCATTTGGGATGTTCAGGGAGGTGGGTCCTGAAGCAGGAGTGCACCTGAGAAATGTGGCAAAGCTCCTGCGGTGCTGGTGCTGCTCCAAAGAGCAGAGTTCTGCACTTGGGGCGGACAGAAAGTGCTGCAGATGGGCCATGAGATCAGTTAGCACTCAGTGCAGGTCTGCTGGGAACAGCCAGATGGGCAAACAGCTTTAACCAGCTCTGACTGCACCCTGTGCTGAGGCAATATTTACATTTCTATCTCCTTCCTCTGATGGCTTTCAGGTGCCCTCTAATATTTACCTTGTGTTCCTTTACCTTGGATCCTCTAAAATGCCTTTTCTGGTGTTTGTGGTTACCCCCCTGTCACCCATTTGTTATTCTGATTGCCTGGATGGCTTTTCTCCTTAACTTACAGCTGCTTTTTCCCCCTTTCCTTGCCTTTAAAGTATTCCTTCTTCTTAGCTAATATTTCATATACTCAGAGCTTCCAAATGCTGTTGAGGTGCTGTACTGAGCATTGCAGTGCTTCTGTTGTTTCCAGTTTCATTTGGGGGTTTAGAGGTGGTGAGGAAGGGTTGTTTCGTACATTTTTGTCTTTCCCAGACTGGTTTGGGGTTTTTTTGAAGTCTCTCCCATTAAGTTCCCAGCCCTGATGTTTTCCTGGAGCCCAATCCTGAATTGTTCATTTGAAAACATGATGACTCCACAATGCAATCCCACAGTTTGTGATCCTTGGGGAAGATGTGCAGGAAGCCCTGGGACGTTTCCAGAGGAGGGGATGGAATCACAGAGGGGTTGGAATGGAATCTTGGAGGGGTTTGGGTTGGGAGGGACCTTAAATCCCACCCAGTGCCATGGCAGGGACATCTTCCACTGTCCCAGGCTGCTCCAAGCCCCAATGTCCAGCCTGGCTTTGGACGTTTCCAGGGATGCAGGGGCAGCCCCAGCTGCTCTGGGCACCCTGTGCCAGGGCTTCATCACACTCCCAGGGAGCAATTCCTTCCCAGAATCCCCCCTCACCTTCTGCTTTTAAATTATTTTTAAATTAAATCCCTCCTGTGTAGGTCCTTGTGGTCCCTCTGATGAAGTGAGGGTCATCCTTCATCCTGCCCACTCCTCTGCCTCTGTTTGAAACACAGCATGGGCATAGATTGAAACATTTTCCAAAAAGAGGAACATTTTGGGAAATGCTCTGAGTCCTTCTTTCACAGATCCCTCCTTGTGGAAGTGCTTGCCTTGCTCTGCTTGGGCTCCTTGTCTTGTTTTATTAAGATATCTCCATCTGTGCTGGAGGTGTCTTCCATCACTTCCAAAGGCAGAGCACCATGGGTGTCACCGACTCCCCATCATTACAGCTGATGCCTTTATTATCTGGAATTTTCCCTTTTTTTTTTCTGCTGGGAGAAGCATCTCTGTGGTTATCCCAGCGTGCTGAGTGTTCCAAATATTTCCTGTCTGGATGGGAATTTTCCCTTTTTTTTTTCTGCTGGGAGAAGCATCTCTGTGGTTATCCCAGCGTGCTGAGTGTTCCAAATATTTCCTGTCTGGATGGGGGCAGAAAATCAGTGTGGGGAAGACTTAGCCAAGTGCTACAAGTCTGCTGCAACCAAAATGATATTTTTCACATTGTGCTTCATGCTCAGGCTGCACAGCTTGGGCTTTTGGGGTGATTTTATGGGTGGCATTTCCATTTCCACCCCTCAGCCTTGGATTTCACCTGTGGAGTGTGGGAATAGCTGTGGTGAGCTCTGCAAGGAGTTTGGGTGACATTTGACTCCTCAAAACTCAGGTTTATCCTGCAGCTGGGCCCTTTGGCTGTGAGCAGAAAGCAGAAATTGACCTCCAGTTCCCAAAACATACTTCAAGTGTTTCCAGTTTGTGAGTTTTCTGTAAACTTCCAGTACTTAGGGAACTCAGAGAGCCTGGTTAATTACAGGATGTACTGACAAGTGCTTGTAATGTCATTTTGTGCCTGAAGAATAGGTGGGAAGCAGAGTGTGAAAGCAGTGTTAATTTTGGGCAGGATGCATGGGGCTCTCTGCTTTCACTGTGGAACTGTGTGTGCTGCTTTCTTTGTACATTTGATTATAGGCAAGCCTTGCACACACACTGATGAGAGTCAGGCAAAGCTGCTTCATTATTTTGGAGACTGACTCAAAATATTTTCTTTCTTTCAGAGACTTGAAGATAGAAAATCTGTTGCTAGATGAAGACAACAATATCAAGCTTATTGGTATGGAACCAGTTTGGCAATTCCAGTAATTAAAATTGTTAGTTTTATAAAGGGAGTTTTTTGAGGCTTCATAATCCCCCATGTGACAACTGCTAATGTTGCTGCAGCGAGGAGCTGAGAGAGTATAGATAGCAATCAAGCTGTTCCTGACAGCACTTTGTGCAAAAAAACCATCCAAATAATTCAGATTTAACTGGGTATGGGAATAATCCTACATCTCAAACCCACATCTTTCATACTCAAATCGGGAGCTCGGTACAGAATTTAAGAATTGACACCACAGGAGTGCTTTATTTTATTATCATGAGCGTTTCTTATTTGCCAGGGGCTGCATTCTGCCCCCGTGAACATATGCTTCCACTGAAGTCAGTGGGAGTCGCTCACATTTTTAGCAGCTGGCAAAATGTGCTCCTATATTTATATTTGTTCCATTTGCTTCCAGCACCCAGGACAAAATTGCTTGAGAGGGCTGGTAAGGAATAAAAAAGATCAACGGTGGAGCCTCGATTGTGTTTAGGTCTCAGTTGTGTGTGGAGCTTGATTCATTCAAGCTGTGCAGGCATTTCAGATTAATCATTGCTGGGGATAGTCTCTCACTGCCTTGCAGAGCTCCCATTAATGTTAATGTGGGCATTGAAAAGAAAATATTCCTCTCATGAAAGAAGTGCCAAACATCTGTTTGTGCTTGTGCCCAGTGCCTGCACTCAGCAGTGTCTGTGGCTGCAGGCGTAAAAACTCCTCAAAAAGTTCCTGCAGGCTTAAAAACTCAACTTGCTCTCTTCAAAAAGTTCCATGGGCTGAAAAGTGCTGAGGAAAACACTTGGCATTCAAAGAGCCAGGTCAAATGGACGCTCACTGTGAGATTTACAGTACCAGCAAACAGGGGAGGATGATTAGGGAAATGTGAGATACTCAGCTTTTACTTTGGGAATTCAGGGGTGGAAATGCCACCCCGACTGCCAGGGATTGCTGTGGAAGATAAGAGCAGAGAGAACTGTGTGTTACCTCAGCTGAGGGCCAGGAGGGCACTGAGAAATGCCATGAATCATTCCCCAGGGCTGATGGAGAGCACCCATCGCCCTGATCCAGCAGATAAGCCAGACCAGATGTTTTGCACCACCAACATCTGATGGATTTAAGGAACTCACATCAGTTCCCCCTTACTCTGGAGCTTGGCACCCAAACCAAGCCCTTCCCAGATGATCTATGTACAGTTAAAACTCATGTGCCAAAATAAAGACTCCAGGCCTGTGTCTGCAGTTTGCCTTGGCTGCATGGAGGAGTCTCCTCACTGTGGGTGGTGGGGGAAGGATAGAGGAAAGAGAAGTTTGGTCTTCCACAGCCTCAATAAATTGTCCTCATGATCTGAATTCTGTCCCTTGCTGGGCTCCTAGAAAGGGAGAGGCAGGCAAGGTTATCAGTGCTGGTGGTCTCACTGCTCCCATCGAGATCAGCAGTGCATCCTTAATAAAAACAGTAAAAATCACACTGTGATCACCATGTGCTGACACAGTTTGATGGCAATATCCTCATTTCCATGGCTGTGGAAGCCCTGTCCCCAGCATGCTTCCATTTGCACAAATTCTGCATTTCAGCAGGGGAAAAAAAAGGCACGGGAACTGAAATGAATGAGCTGAACAAATGAATAAAAGGTTGACAATTGAAGCAAATAAGAGAATGAAAAGCTCTGGTAGAGCACTCCTCCTCTGATGCTGGTGAGGAGCTGCTGATTGGCACCAGCACAGAACACAGCCCTTGTACCCTGGGACTGTCAAACATCACATGTGGAGCTGGCCTGACACAGCAGGATAAGGACCAGGAACAGCTCTGTGTGCAGATGTTATTTCCACGAGTTTCTAAAAGTATTTCCCAGCTGACAGAACTCATCTCAGGCCACAGCTAATGAGCACATTAATTAAGGTAATGGATCCTCTGCAGTATTTGTGGAAGCCCCAGGGATGATTAAGCAGTGCCCAGAGAGAATTGTTTCTCCATCAGAGGCAAATTCTCCCTTCAGTTGTGACAGAGTTCTCCAGGAAAACTCCTCTTTAGCTGTGAAAGATGGGATTCCTGTCCCCCTGAGCCTGCCTGGCCCTCAGGGATGCAGGAATTCACGTGCAGGGATGCAGTTGCCACCATTCAGGCACTTCCAGTCACTGTGATAATTGCATTTTTTTGGTAGCAATTTTTGTATCTTTGCCTGGTTTAGTGGGGGAATGAGGCTTATGTGCCTGCCCTGCTTCTAATCCCTTGAGGAGCTCCCCAAATTTCACCCAAATTTGATTTTCAGCAAGGTGAAAGATAAAGGACAGGCCAGCACTGCAAGTCCAGTGTAAATAAATGTGCAGCTAAGGAAAAAAAGCCACAAATCAGTGCCTGAGAGAGGATAATGAGGAGCTAATCAGATGTCAGTGGTGGTTTTCAGAGATTCACAGAATATTCTGAGTTGGAGAGGGCCACAAGGATCCATGAATCCAACTCTTAATGAATGGGATTTTTTGTTCCCTGAGCCCATCTGAGCCTGCAGCCACAGCAGGGCTGGAGCAGACAGGAGGGAAATTTTGGGAGCACCCAAAATGTGTTCCAGAGCTGAACCCTCTGTGTTTGTGCATCACCACAGCAGCCCCAGAGGTTTCCATCTGAGGGCTCATTTATGCTCAGATTTGGAAGGAATCCCCCCTAACCTTGTCCCTGCCCAGCATCCTGCAGCCTGAGGTGGCTCAGGGGCTGGGACAAGCTCAGCTCTGGTTGTTGCCATCTAGCTGCTCTGTGTATGAAATGGAAAATTTGGCATGTCCTAAGGCTCCTCTTATTGTTGGTTGGTTATTTAGCACCTTGGGGAAGCAAATGGCATCAAATTTTTGCATGTGGATGAGTGGGGTTTTTTTTCTCCTCAGGGAGTTCATTGCTTTTGGGGAAAAAAAAGTTATTTCTTTTTAACTTGTGCTCTAGCCCAGTTTGAGCGTGTCTCTCTTTCATAACTGTGTCTCTGTGCCTTTCACAGACTTTGGATTGAGCAACTGTGCAGGAATTTTGGGTTATTCTGATCCCTTCAGCACCCAGTGTGGGAGCCCAGCATATGCAGCCCCTGAACTCCTGGCAAGGAAGAAGTACGGGCCCAAAATAGACGTTTGGTCCATGTGAGTTCCTCCTTGGGTTTGGAATTTAAAGAGCAGGGGCATCTCCAGCTGGATCAGGGGAGATGCTCTCAGAGATGGGGCATCAACCCTGTAATAGCTGGCAGGCATTAAAGATGAACTGCAGTCTCTAAAACATAATTTTTCCCTCGTTCCTGATCATTTTGGTTTCTTTTCCTGCCTGTTTTCTTTCAGTGGGGTGAACATGTATGCCATGCTGACGGGAACATTGCCCTTCACTGTGGAGCCCTTCAGCCTGAGAGCCTTGTACCAAAAGATGGTGGACAAAGAGATGAACCCCTTTCCCACCCAGCTCTCCTCAGGTAAAGCTGTTCCAGGGGATTGTGGCTCCTCAGCCATGCTAATTGGGAAAAGCTCCTTTCTTTTTCATTGTGGCCTCTGCAAGAGCTGCAGGAGCTGATGTAGCAGAATTCCTTTTGCTTTGGCTCCTGGGCAAGCACCAAGTTGTGCTGGATATGAGAGGAGGAGCAAATCTGTGAAATTCTGTGGGACTACTTTTGCAGGGCAGTTGGTCACTTTTGCACATCCAGAAGATTCTAGCATGGGGTAAGGGTGGATGAAGAGATTATTTTGGAATTACAGATTCCTGGGCATTGTCCTGACTGGGGTTGGGTGACAAATAACCTCAAATAACCTGCCTCAGATAACCTCACATTTATTATGGAATAATGAGATGTGCTCAGAAAGTTATTTTGGGACAGCCACCTGGGATAACCTTTGTGTGTTCACAAAATGCAAAACAGTTGATGTATTAGTATCTCAGGAATATTAATTCCTGCTTCAGAGCCACGTCACTAGGCAACAGAATCACTTTGCAGCTTGCAGCAAGGCCACTGGCAGCATTTGGAACAAGCTGGGGTTTATTTTTTCGTGCCAACTCTGTTGTCCATGGAGAGCTCCTTCCTTCCCTGGCAGCCTGCTTGCAAAGGGCTTTTGATAAAATTAAAAGATCCTAAATGCAAAAAGGGAATGGAAACCCTTGGGAGCTGAGTCACAAGGTGAATTCTCCAAGCAGAGATTCAGGGTTCCACCTCCCACCCTGTACAAGGCCAGCCAAAAAGATAACATTGCTTTTTAGCAGGCTTGCTTTTGCTGTTTCACCCATCCCACCATTTGAGTGGAGATCAGATTTTCTCCATTTTCAGCTCACTGTGTCTCCAGGGAAGGCAGGATTTGGTTTATCCTGTGGGAGCCTGGACTTGCAGAGGTGATGGCAAATGAATGGAGTAGATTTAAAGATGTTACCCTTTGCCCAAAAGGAGCCCATCAGTCCCTGAGCCCAGCCCAGGGACATGGCACAGTGTGATTTAAGGTGACATTTCTCCCTGCCACCTTAGCCTGTGGGTCATTGGGCAGCAACTCTGCTCTGGGAATTGCAGTGCTTGTTAAATTCTTGGGTTTGTGCACCTTTTATTTCAGTCAGGTCCTAATTTCCATAAATCCAGCTATAAAGCAGAGAATTTTCACAGTAAAAATTTTCAGTTTTACATGCCCAGTAGGTTGTCTTTCAATATTTAATTTCCTGGTTACTGAACACACACAGCCCCACCATGCAGAGTTATCTCTGAGCAGGAAAACACTTTGATTTCTGTGACCCACAATGCTGGCTGACCCTGAGCACCCTGTGCAGCAAAACAGGGACATTTTGGAGCTGCTGTTTGATTTTCCCACTTGGGAGCCTGTTTCTCATGAAGCCTCTTGAACAGCAGCTCTCTGGGTATTGATTTTAGCTAAGCAGAGGTCACTGGGTGTTCACCTTGCATATATTCATTTTCCTTCATATTTTTTTTCCCTGGGGAAATCATTTTGCATGATGGATGGGTGGAAGCTTCCAGGAGGGAATTTTCACCCCAAAATTGGCTTTTCCCAGCCTGAATCTGTTGATCTGTGGCACTTCACAAGCTTCATTTAATTAGCTTGCCTTTTGGCAAGGGTGGGGGTGGAGCAGTAGGATTTTTTAAAGGAGATTTTGGGTGATTTGGAGACCAAGCATGGTGATGATGAAGGAGGGAGTGTGGGTTTGGGGATAGGGCTTTTTGTGGCTCAGAGCCAATGGGATTGGAAACCAATGTGAGGTTTTTAACACAGACACTGGAGCAAGAGGGGATTCCATGGGAGAACAAGGGTTTGTTGTTTGCTGGGATGGGGTGAAGAAAGGGCACCCCAGGCACACAGAGAGCAGCTTCCAGCAAGGTTGGCAATTTGGATGTAGGCTCTTCCTGCTGCTCTGCCACATGGCTGCTGCAGGATAATAACAGAAATGCTGGAGAGTATTTGAGTAAAGCATCTCCCTTAAATCAGTGGTTTGTGAAGAGAAAGATTAAAAAAAAAACCAGCTGAACTGGTAAATACAGAGTAGGAAGCCTCTCTTGCACATCTAAGCTTCTTGACACAGAGTTTCTCCAGCTGAAACCTGATTTTTGCAGGGTATTGTACACTGAGGTTGCTCAGGTTGGTGGGTGTTGTCACTTGTTGGGTCTAACCCTGATTTATTTAGGGAGAAACCCTCCCTTCCTCCTCCTCCACCATCCCCATCCTGTCCCATCCCATGAGGCGCTTTATTCTCCTTAAATTGCACCTAGGAGCAGTGAAATCATTGATATTTGATAATTGAGGATTAATAATCCTTGATAATTTGAGGAATAAAGACGAGACCTAGCTGAAACAGAGTTGATTTTCAGCTCAGAGGGGCTCTTCTTGTGAGGTTTCAGGCAGATCACTTGATTTCACTGCTCCTAGTCAAGTAAGAAGCACGTGGCTTAAAAATTGAGGGTTTTTGGAGGAAACTCAGGAGGAGTGGTTGAATGTCATTGGAAGTTGAAGGTTCAGGAGAACAAAGCAAAGCCTGTTAATTTTGCTGCACTCTTTTTAATTTGGCTAAAACTTTCTGCAGCTGATTGTAGGTTGGTTGGGAGCCAGAGAATTTATCCTTGTCATGTCAAGGGGAGCCAAATTTGCTGTGTCTTCCTTCCCAGGTCTGCATCCCCTCCCTTCCACTCACCCCTGGTCCTTCTCCTTCTGCTTGGATCCAGGGATTTGTCTCTGACCTGGCTCCAGCCTCTCATGTGGGAATTAAATGAATTAAATGTTGCCTCACCTGCTCCGAAACTTCAAATGAGCTCTGAGCCAAAAATGCCTTTTCTGCTCTCATTGGATATAAAATAAATGCATTAAATAATGTCTATAAATCATTGTGGCTGTAAATCATTGTTTGTTTCAATTACTAATCCCTTATCAGTGCTTCTGTTTTCTCAAGGACACGGGAGCAGGCAGTAAGGGAATTTTTGTTCCTTTTTAGTGTGCTTTTGCTCAGGGTGCACACCTGTGTTAACTCACCTCCTGTGCCAGTCCCAGAGCTGATTTTTGGGGTTTTCCCTCCATCTCTTCACAGCTGCCATCAACTTCCTGCGCTCTCTGCTGGAGCCAGACCCTGCCAAGAGACCAAACATCCAGCAGGCCCTGGCAAACAGATGGCTCAATGAGAACTACCCTGGCAGGGCACCACCCAATGTCACCTACCCAAACAGGTACAGCAGGGAGGGGAGGGGAAAACCTGCCAGCATGGCCCTGGTGTTCCAGCTCCACTCGTGTCACACATCCTAGGGACTGTGAATCCATCCTAGAAGTCGTGGAGATTGGCCCTGGGATGCTTGAAATGCCAAGAGCAAGGATGGATGGATGGATGGATGGATGGATGGATGGATGGATGGATGGATGGATGGATGGATGGATGTCAAGCAGCTTGGGTGCCTAGGGGTATCACTGGACCCAGCCCCAGAAATGTGGGCCTGTAATCCCCAGGATATAAAGGTGGCCCCTGTGATGAATTGTTTCCAAGGGAGGAGAACAGGCAGAGCCATTCTCTCAATATCACTCTGTTGTATTCATATTTCTAGAGTCCCATACCACCTCGGTGTTTTCTTATGGCTGCAGTTCTTCACAGCACAGACTCCTTCTTCTGCACATTGTTCCTTCTTAGTCAGGGCCCCTTCCAAGCTCTCCCTGCCTGGCCAACCCACCCCCTTTTATCCCAGTTATCTTCACTGGCCACAGCTACAGCCCATCAACAACAACTGGGATTGGGGCAACGCCTGTGTACAGATATTCAAGTACTACATTTCCCCCTTTCCTTTTACTTACAGATATTCAAGTACAATACAGATATTTTACTAGGACTCAAAGGCCACCTCTACTATATCACTCCCCTCCAAATTTAGGGGACATGTGAATCTGTAAAGAGTAAAAGCCTTTAAAGAGATTCTTTCTCTCATTTTTTAAAAATAATACTACTTTTGTTTCATTAGTTGATGTCCCATGCTTGACTTACTTAGGCTTTGTCATACTGGAGCTTTACAGGGAGAAAAACCTGCAAAGTTTTAAATATTTAAAGGTGTGGCCTGGCTCCTTTTGAGCTTGTCTCAGAAAGCACCACTGGAGTCAGCTTCCATGGAATTTCTCCAGTTTTTCCTTAGTGTGCAGCCATGGATAAGGTGTGGTGAAATGGTGTGTGAAAAACCCACTGCTGAATTTGCAAAGGATTAATTCCTCTCTTAATCAGCACAGAAGATGTTCTTGCAGTGCCCTTCCACTCCTGTGGGGGTAACTCCCATTGTCCCCAAGACAGGAGCGTGGCAGGAAGGGAAGAGCATGGAGATAAGGTGGGAGAACAGCAGAAGCTGCATTTTCAGGAGAATATTTTCCCAGGCTTTTTATAGGCTTGCTTTTGTTGAAGAAATTCCCTGAAGGCAAGCAAAAATTTTCCCATTTTGCTGAGCGCTTCCAGTCGAAATTGCTTGGATTTCTTTTGCTGCCCAGATGTCTCAACATGCAGTGGCCAAGATAAGTTTTGCTTTTGAACTTGTGCAAAAAAGACCCAACCCCATTAGGCATTCCTTAGGGGCAGAAGGAGTGTTCATAGGCACAGGGAACAAAGGGAATGAGTTATTTGAGACTTCCCAGGCTGTGTTTGACATCTTGTCTGAGTCCTGTCCATCAGAGCCCAGGCAGGAGTGGGGAAAATGGGGAGGAATCTTGAAAAATATCACCCTCTGATATTAGGCTTGGTATTAGGAGTGAGGAATATCCTCGAGGAACAGCTGGAACCCAGCACTTCTCTGGAGATGGCTGCGAGCTGGTGGTACCTCTGGGAAGCTGGCCAGCCCATTTAGAAGTCTAAATAGGAGCAGAGCTCTTTGGAAAAATCTGGTTTTAACTCAGGCTGAGCCAATGCTTTGGCATCTCCACAAGACCTCTGTTCTGCTTTTCTCGCCTTGGCTGAGGCTGCTCCAGACTTTGGAGAGGAGAGAGACATAAACATGGCTGTGACAGCAGGGAGACAGCAGTGCTGCCATTCTGAGCTGCAGGAATAGTCCTGTGCATCCCCTTTCTCCAGCAGGAAATTCTCTGGCTAATTAGGGCAGGGGCACTGCAGCAGGTAAGGAAAGGGGTGAAGCTCAGAGCAGAGCTGTCTGATTAGGAGAAAAGGGCTTTTCAGAGAGCCAGATTTTTGGCTGGATTTTACCTCTTTTCCTTCAAAACCAGCTCATCTTCATGATTTTCAGTGGTCAGGTGTAGAGGAACAAATGGCCTGAGCATCGATCACGGTGCCGTTTCCCATCAGGGATGGACAGAGTGAACAGAATTCTGTTAATTCCCACAGTTCCTGTGCTCCCAGATTATCTGTCCTTTCCCTGCCTGGCTTTCCTGGGTCAAAACATTTTGCCCTCAGGTCAAATGCAGTGTTCTCTTGGGGGATCAGAGCCTGTCAGCACAGAAAGTCTCAATAACCAGGGTTCAGTAGGGTTCAAAGGGTTCAGTAGGGTTCAAACCCTCAATAACCAGGAAATTCTCAGTAGCCAGGGTTCCAACACCTGCCTGCTCCTGGGAGAAGGGAATTAATCACCCCCAATTACTGAGCCCTTGGGGGCCTCTTCTTGGGTGTTCTGCCCTGCAGAGGACACCCCAAAAACCCTGTTGTGTCTCTCCCTGTGCAGGATTCACCTGGAGGACCTGAGCCAGAGCGTGCTGCTGCACATGACTGAGAAGCTGGGCTACAAGAACAGCGATGTGATCAACACTGTGCTGTCCAACAGGGCCAGCCACACCCTGGCCATCTATTTCCTGCTCAACAAGAAGCTGGAGCGCTACCTGGCCAGCCTCAGGGTGAGGAGGGGACAAAAAGGCTGCAGGTGGCCTGGCTTGGTGGCATTGGGTCTCCCGGGATTACAGAAAATTCCAAGGACAATCCATTGGGAAGTGCCCCTGTGTTGGGTTAGTTCTGCTGCTTGGAATGCCAGTCACACAATTTATGGAGTCAGGACATCAGGAAGAAGCTTAAGAGCTCTTAAACTTATTTAGGTTTGAAGTGAAAAGTCAGCTGAAAGTTTTACCCTGAGCATAGCACAGACCTTCCAATTTGACAACAGCATCTCAGTCCTTTCCTTCCCTCAGTCCTTTCACATTGCCACAATGATATTTACAATGTAATGGACCAAATCCATCATCCCTGTGAGCTGATGCCCCTCCACTGAATGCCAGGAGTGGGTGCAGTCCATTAAGCAGTAATTAAACCTTGGTGCTCTCTAATTATCTCACATATTTGACTTTTCTGTGCTTTTGTCTCTGCAGAAGGCTGAAGGCCAGGACAGTGTTTGCCACAAGAACCAGCTGTACCAGATAGAAAAATACAAGGCCAATAAAGACTCCTATGAGGTAAAGCTCAGCAAAGCTTGGTGCAGTGCTTTGAGAGCAGATTGAATTTGAGCATCCTTGGTGATGGTGATTCAAGTGATGGGATTGTGGAGAAATGTGTGGTCCTGCCTGTGCAGGACAAATAAATCCCTTTCAAAGAAAGAAACAGTGACCCCCAAGAGAGGAACTAGAAAGGGTGACTTTCAGGGTTTTTAAAGAAATTAAATATTTTTAACTCTCTGTTTAGCAAAATGATGCAAACACAGGGGGCTCCACTGTTTCATTCTGGGGTGCAAAAAGATGAAAACTGAGTGTTCTGGAGGCTCTGAGCCCTTGGTGCTGCAGGACAGAGAGCTGGGTGGCAGCCAGGGTGACCTTCTGGTGTCCTGGGCCAACCCTGCCTTGGCTGCCAGCAGCAGTGAGGCTGGACTAGCACAGCACTCTGCAAAGTCAATTTTCCCTGCTCCTTAGCAGAGGGGATGTGGGCTCAGCCTCTGCATCATGAAGGAATTCCCCTGGGCAGACAAGAGATTTAACCTTTTGCTCTGTCGCTCTCCAGTCCTCTTGCCTGCAAGCAGAGAAGGTATTTTGTATGAAATCCTGGCTGGGTTTCTCTTCCCTGGCTGATTCTTTGCCAAGCACTAAAATTACAGGAGTAATGTGAGCTGTGCAAGTGTTCCCTGCCAGCACAAAGAGCAGCATTCTTGGGGAGGCTGCCTGTTCCAAAGGCTGCTCCTCAGCCCTGGATTGATTATCTAATTGCAGGGGCAGATCTGTGTCGGGGCTGGTTTTGTTTATTATAAAGGCAAGCTGAACTGCAAGCCAGATGGAAATATCAGGGCAAAGCACTTACTCTTTTCTCAAATAAATCAAAACCTTCTTGCTGGGAATGGACCAGCAGTGGGTAGACCAGATGAATGTGACATTTCACAAAGCTCTCACAACTTCCTCGAACTGTTCCCTAGAAACAGGGGCAGCAGCTGGGGGTGAAGGCTCCAGATCCTGCCTGGAGCATCCTGGCAGGGGCTGGAGATGGGCTCTGGGGTCCCTCTCACCCCGTGCTCTGCTTCCACAGGGGTTTCTGTCACTGTAGCTGTGCTCACAGGAGGAATTGGGAGCACTGGTCCCCAGGGAGCAGAGCTGCAGGTTGCCATGGGAATGGGAGGGGGAGGGATGGTCAGCTCCAGCTCCAGCTCCAGCTCCAGCTGAATTTCTCCCACCTCTCTCCAACCATGGGAAATGAGGATTTGGCTTCAGGAGAGGCTGCCAGCAGCTGGGCAGGCAGGGGGAAAAGGGCAGTGCTTGTGTCCTGCCCCTCTTCTCCTGCTGCAGGCTGGGCAGGGGCAGGCAGGCAGGACTCTGTGCTCTCTCCATCTCTTTATTTGTGGACGGGGACTCCGGAGGAATGGCCGTCCCTGCAGGGGAGCTCGGAGGACTCACAGGTGGAATTTGCAATTTTGAACAGCTGCTGTCCTTGTCCTGTCCCCGTGCCAGACGTGGCCAAGGCAAACACCCTTGATCTGCCTTTCAGATCCATTGCTGGGGCTCAGAGCAGGTTTGAGGGTCAAGGTCAGGACAGGAAATAGCAGAGGATGATGTAATTCCCAACCTATTCAAGCACAGCATACCGGTGCAGCTCCTGCACTGTGGGACACAGCAGTGCAGGGGGAACTTCTGCAACCCCCCTGAATGAAATCTTCCTTCCCTTTCCAAATACAACTGAGTGGCACCTTGGGATTCAGGTCCTGAGCCACGTTAGCACTTTCAGAAACACCCCTAAGACCATTTGCAGTGCTCATCCAGCGTGAAGAAATTAATTGGCAGCACCGGATATGTGAATTTCCTTTGCCAGGGCTGCTTTCATTGTGTGGAGTGGCTGGCTCAGAGAATGTGCCAGCAGGGCGAGGGCAAAGGCAGGAGCACTTGGCAGGTGAGGAGCTGCAGCTTGGCTCCTGCACCATCAGGCTAAAACCACTGCAGGCATGGAACATCCAGAGGCTCAGGGTGAGCTGCACACCTTCCCCCTGGCTGCTGGGCCAGGTGGTGTAGTTGTTACCAATAATAATAATAATAATTAGCATTATTAGCAGTGTTCTTGCTGCTGCTGCCGGTTTTGGTGTTGTTGCCACCTCACCCTCACTAGGATGAAGTGCCTGACCCACAGTGTGGCTCCAAGCCTGGCTCCAGTGGATGGGCACCTCCAGAGGTGGGCAGCTCCACCAGGGGCTCCTTGGCGGCTGTGGAAGGGTCAGGCAGCTGCAGCCAGCCAGAGGGAGAGGAATTGCAGGGGATGAGGGATGGAAGAGGGCAAAAACACACAAGCACAAAGGGAGGCTCGTCCAGTGAGGAGGATCTCAGGTTCTTCTTCTCCCAAGTCAACCATTTCACTATTAAATCAAAAAGCTTTGGTCTGTGAGTCGCTGAAGGTCTTCTTTCCAACTTTGCAACTCCTGAAAGGTTGATGAGCCCAGCAGTGCCAGACATGGTCCATGCAGGGAGCCAGGCTCCATCTGAGCTGGGAATGTTCATAATAAGTCCAGATTTTTGCCTCTTCATGTCCATCTTGCTTCCAGAGCTGTTTAGTGGTCCAGAAGAATCTTCTGCATCTTTCTTTTCCTCTCTCAGGTGTTTTTATGCACTTCACTTTGAGGGTTTTCGTAGACTCCACATCAGTGAGCTTGCACAAGAAAATCAAGAGTGGCAGTGCATAATTACCAGACAAAACAGGCACATAATTGGGGGAAGGAACTTTCCGTCACTTTTTAAAAAGACTTGTACTTGCAGTGACCTTCTAATCAGATGAGCAAAACATGTTGCTTAAATGAGAACTGTGACCAGAAAAACAACCCCAAACCAATCAAAATAGTTTTTAAATGTGGAATAAGGCTTTGGGCTTCCGTGGAAATCAGTGGCAGGTAAAGGGTGTTAAGCAGTTTGCTGAAAGAAGAAGCAATGAATTTTCCCTGTAAAACAGTGCTTTGAAAATTGGCTTCCCCTTCAGAGTCCTACTCCCAGGGTCTGTTTTTCCTCTGTCATCACTGGAGATCAAACCTATCTTCTTCTTGCAATTCCTCCTCCAGCTGCCTTCTCCATCACAGCCAGGAGTTATGGCTCAGGGAAGGATTGGCTCAATAATTTTCTCCCCTTCCATGTCTTGTGCAGTTGTAAAAGCAAGGGCTGTGTTCCTCCAGATCTTGTCTGGACAGAACAGAAATGACTCAAAGGCTTTAAACTTCTTTAAAACCTTGCAGCTCACCTTCTTAAATCTCAGAGGGAGTGGAGTAAAGAGAAATCAAAGGGAGTTTTTTGGTGCTTAAGTAGGGTATTTCAGGTATGGAGGAGCACGAGCCTTCACCTGCTTTCTCCAAGAGAAAAGTTTTCCTTTTCCTTTAATTTTCCAAGACCTGCCTGAATGGCAGCACAGATGAGAGCCATGAAATCATGGCAAACTGATCAGAGGCAAATGAGACATGGAGGATTTAGTTACTCTAAGTTCCTTGTGATTAATCCACCTTGTAGGTCTGGGGGTCACTGCAACTTCCCTTGAGTAAACCAAACTGTTCTTGTTTGTTTTACAACCTAAAGGACAAAAAACTCAAAGAGCAAGAAAAGAAAGGGGAGATCCTTCACCGTCACCTCCCAAAGAAAACTGAGAAAAGTCCAGTTTCATATAGACAGCCTTCTTCCTGTCTTATCTCACAGATCCAGAACACCAAGGCTCTGCTGAAGGACCGGAAAGTCGCCAAGGCCGGGGGTCCGGACAAAGGTCAGTGGGACAAAGGCCAGGCTGGGTCTGTGTGTGCATGTTAGATGTGGTGGTTTTGAGCCTGTCCTGTCCTGTCTGGTGGTTTTAAGCCTGCCCTGTGTTCTGTGGTGGTTTTGAGCCTGCCCTGAGCTGTGTGTGTCTGTTTGTGAGTAAAAACTCTGGGTTTGCCTTCCCTGCCGCTCCGGGGGTGGTGTGGGAAAGGAGCCTGGATAATGTCAGCGCACGTGGAGTGAAATGCCCTGAGGAATCCATGGTGGTGCTCAGCACTCAGGAGCCCTCCCTGTCTGTGTTTGACAGGATTCCTGCAGTGCTTTAGCAAGGCAGCTTCTTCCCCTGTTTACACGTCCTCACACGAAATCCTCCGCGCTCACGCTGCTGTTTTGAAAGCATCACCACCCACCCCGGATCAGTGAGGAACCGGAGCTGGTAGCCAAGCTCCTTCCTACCAGCCCCTGTTTTCCTCAGAGGGGGCTAAGGAGAATCCCTGACCTCCCTGAGGGGTCCCTGGGAGGAATGGGAAAGGGGCAGCCTCAGGGAAAGGCTGCAGGTGGGACTGCCAACATCAGCATCAGCAAAAGGAGGGGGGAAATGAGCAGGGAAAGGAAAAGATGTGACAGAGGAGAGCACAGCATTAATCACAAAGGGCAGCCTGAGAGGGCTGGGTGAAAACTGCTGGCAGAGAAAGGAGTGGAGGAAAAGAGGAGTCAGCAGGAAAAATGGGCAATGCAGACCTGGATGGGAGACACTAAGGAGCAGCAAGGTGATGTAGCCTCGTTAGATAGGGAACTAAATGAGGGGAGATGGGAACATCCACAGTGATGTGGATGTCAGGGAGTTATTCAGAGTGGTGGTTTGTGATGCTTTCATGCTCATTGTTGTGACTTGATCATTTATCATTTGTTGTGCTCAAAGTGAGAAAAAATTGTCCAAGTCATGTTTGTCTGGCAGCACGGGAACCTCTGCTGCGGGGCGGCAGGAGTCCAGAGAGCTGGGCAGGAATGGGACAGAGTTCCTTTAAAAAAATGTAAAAAAAATTTTAAATGCCCATTTTGCTGATATTTGCTGTTCTTTTTGGGAGGAAGGCACGGGGGGAAGAAAATCTAGTTCATTTTTTTCCTCTTTATGTTTCTCCCTGCTTTTTTGTTCTGAAAATTATGCAGATCTCAGCTAAAGCATTTCCCTGCTTATGGAAACTATATTTTGGCACATCTTAAATAATTTCTGCCAGTTTTAGAAAGAAACTGGTCAGATTGAACTTCTTTCTACTTTTCCCAGACAAGTGTGAGATTTCATCCTGTTCATCCACAAGACCATCCCTCCACAAGAAATACACCTGAGATTGTGGCTGGGACCTGAGTGCTGGCAGAGCAGAATTATTTCAGATCCCTTTTAGATGATTTGAGACCCAAGGAACTGATGGAATAGCTTCCAGTTAATTCAATTAGGGGGGCCTGGCAGTCAGGTTGCTTGGACAGCTTTCCATCAAGGCAGCAGAACGTGCTTGCTTGTGATGAGCTTGGCATGAGGCAGTGCCAGCGTTCTGCAGGAGCTGGGCAGATCTTCTCCACGAGCTGTTTTGTTTGACTGGGCCAAATCCTGCAAAGATTTTGTGCCATTTCTTTCCAGCTCTTGCTGGAGGAAGGTTCTTGCTGAAGTTGCTGCAGCAAGTCTGTTCCAACTGTAACAGGCTGTGCTGGCCAGTGCTGCTACTCCATATTTACATGTGTGAAACCAGGGACAGATTTTGTTCCAAAATGCAAGGAGAGCCTTCAGGGATTAACTCACTGTGCTCCCCTGTGTCTCTAGGTGTGTCAGGGAATACAGGCCCAGCAAGAGCCACACAAAGTGGTGCTGAGAAAGGAGAAATGTGAGATTTCCCAGTGTGTGTGTGGTGGTGTGGCTATAATTAATACAAACAGCTGGAGACATCTGTGCTTTTCCTTCTCAAGTGCCTGTCTGAGTTTAAGCACTTTTCCTGCCTGTGAGGAGGAGGGCAGATAAATCACCTGGGCAGCAATGGTGTTGGTAGAGAGGGTGAGGGAGTCGGGTTGTGAGTGCATCCCAGACTGTTTGCTGCATCTGGAGCATGCCCAGGTCCCTGTGGCCGTGGGCAGTGCTGGTAACTGCAGTGTGCTTTCCTGCTTCCTTCTCGCCTTGCCTTGCAGACTCCAGCGGCGCCGTGAGCCCTTTCCACGAGCCCCTGGCAGCCAGGACGGGCTGTGTGACCTCCAGCTCCCTGGAATACCTGGAGGTGCAGCAGGCTCCCCCCAGGACCCCCCGGCTCCTCAAGAGGCAGGAGTCCCCGCAGCCGGAGCCGTCCCGCATCGGGGGCCGCCCCAAGGATTCCCCGCTCATCCTCAACATCGTGCACTCCTTCGAGTCAGTGGACAGGGAGGAGCAAATAGACCAGGTTTCCCCCTCTCACCAGTACAGAATTTTGGGCTCTCCAATGAATTTCCCCTATAAAAGCTCCAGTGAAAGGACACTGTCGCCGCTCTTTCCCCCGGGGAGCACGTCCCCCGTCCACCCCACCCAGGTCTCCTTCACCTATGAAGAGAAAGCATACACAGCAAAGGAAGAGGCAGTGTCCCCTACCCAGCTGGTCCCCAGCAACCCCCTGGGCAGCCCAAACTGTGTGAAAAGCCGGGGCAGGTTCCCCATGATGGGGATCGGACAGATGCTGAGGAAGAGGAACCAGAGCATGCAATCGGTGAACGAGAAGCCCCTGGAAGCCAGGATGCCTCAGCTGCAGCAGATGAGCCCCACACAGATTTCCTTCAACACAGAGGCTCTCAGCGGCCAGTGTTAGCCTGACATCCTGGGATTTGCACTGCTCTTCTCTGGGATCTAACCTTTTTCCCCTTTGAGCAAGAAGGGAAAGCCACAGGCACGTTGCTGTCACCCCGCAGTGGTGCAGCGCAGGAGATCGGAGGTTTGCTTGCAAGGAAGGCACTGTCCTACATATTACAGTTGAAAGGAAAGGGCTCTGCTTGTGCTGTTAAGAAATATTCACATTTGGCACCTGACTGTACAGTAAAACACCCTGCAAGGCTGAGTGGATCTGTATTTTCACTGCTCTCACCTGGGTGGAAGAACCACGAGCACCGAGGTTTGGTTCCCCCAGGGAATCAGTGCCTGGCCAGAATCTGTGCTGAGACTGTCCCTGCTCCACCTGCCTGTGCCACACAGCCCGTGCTGCTGCTGCAGGCATTGCTCCTGGGCCAGGAGGGGGGCAAATGCCAGTACTCTGCTCAAAGTGAGCTTGCTGACAAGCCCTGCTGAGAAGATGGAGGTGATAGAAAGCTTGAGTAAAGACACGAGAGATCTAGCTCAGAAAAAGTGGGAATATTGGGATTCAAAGCAGATTTTGCTGTTAATTACATAAAGTAGGTAATAACACAATCATTTTTTTTCATGAAGAAAACTGTGATTATTTAAAAACAAGTGTCATCATGTGGAAATTCACTGCATTGGTCCCTGTTAACCAAAGCAGCTTTGGACACACCTGAAGGCTTCTCTGAGGTTGCAGTGAATTAAAAAGACTTAATAAAGGACACCTGAGCCTGTACCAAGTCCATTTTATACTCCAAGATTGATAATGTAGTGGTTACCAAAAATTGGGTATTGTTATCAGCAATGGAGATTGACTTTCCTAAAAGACACCATGTTCTGTATACCAGTCTTGTTTTTCTAAGTAAATGATACATACATCTGAGAGGTTGGCAACATCTCTTTGGTTCTGTTTCTGTCCTCAAACCATTTCCTATAAATGAGAAGGTTTAGCCAAAGACAAGGACTGCTCTTTTCTCTCCTTTGTACCACCCCTGTATGTGTTTATGTGTTCAGAGCATCTCAGCCCACTGAATGGGCTGCTCAGTGCTGGCAAAAGCAGCAGAGTGATGCCCAGAGCATTCCTCTCATCCCTGCATGGGGGTCCTTCCCCTCAGCACTGGGCTTTGACCCTGGAGAGTCCATGAGCATCCTGGACCCTTCAGTGGGCTGAGGAGTCCCACCTCTGAGGGAGTTGTGTAAAATAATACACATGAAAACCCCAATACCATGAGAAAAGACAGCCCTGGAATAGTTGTATCCATTTTCAGATCATTCTGTTTATGGAGAGCACCTGTTCATCCCAAGGGGGTCATTTTAACTCCTTCATTTATAAATGTCAGAGTATTTCATTCTCTTCATGCTAAGAACACCTTTGTGCTGCCAAGTCAGTGGGCAGGGACCATTGAAAAAACAGGGATCACTGAAATCAGGGATCAATGAAATTAAGGACCACTGAAATCAGGGACCACTGAAATCAAGGATTACTGAAATCAGGGATCACTGAAATCAGGGACCACTGAAATCAGGGACCACTGAAATCAGGGGCCACTGAAATCCCCCCTTTGTGTTCATCAGATTCCCATACCCGAGCAGATGGCAGATGCCAACTTGAATTGCAAACTCAGGTTTATTTGGAACCCGATAAAAGGTTGGGGGAGGCAGGAAAGAGATATGTTTTGGTTTTTTTTTTCATTTGTGGAAACACAGGAAATATGTGTAAGGATCAGAATGAAAACAAATGTGAAGTATTTTATTATATTTATAGGGAATATATGAGTACTACAGTGCTAAAACATAACCATATATTCAGCATAGTCAGTAGCTATGTACAGCCCAACTGCAGTGACCACAGAAGGGACCTACTGAATATCACAGTGGAAATTCCAGGGGGGAAAAGCTGTATTTGGGATCATTATTAAATATATGTACTTTTGAAACAAGATTGCCACAGACTGCTGACTTTGTTTGCCAGGTCACTGCATAGCAAAGATAAAAACTCAGGACAGAAACTACAAGGATGGGGCTTGGAGCAGCCTGGTCTAGTGGAAGGTTGAAATCTTTTTTTGGTGTTTGCCTCAGTCTTGGCGCCAAACCCGTCATGAATGTGTTTGACAGCTGAAAATACACCTTACACTTCAGGCTGGGTGTTGGGAAAAGAGCAGTTCTGAGCTTTGGAATGGAAACACCTCTGTGGGGCCTTTCTGAGCTGCTGTGAAGCACTTACAGGAGGGTTTTGCAAACTGGCTGATCACTGGGCAGCAGTTCAGGAGCCAGAGTGGTAAGAGTGGTTTTGTTCAGGCTCTTCTGCCTAGAAAAACAGGTGTTGGATTTATTCAGTGAGAAGGAGCAGGAATCAGCAGCTGTTGGTGAAGGTGTTGGTCTTTGTGCTTCTCCTGTAAATGGGCTGCTAAATACTGAAAAACTTCACTGCTTGTAGCAGCAAGCTCACATTGGCCATACTTATCCAGAAGTGAGCAGAAAATCCAGTGGCATTGCTGCTGTGGCAGGAGTTGGGGTTTTGCCTGTCTCTTCCCTGTTTTTTCCATCCTCTGTGGCCATAAATGGCCAATTTTCTCCTGTGTATCCCCCCTCCCTTGGAGCTTCACAGAGCTCCTCGATATCTCATCCCAAAGGAATCCTGTCATAAGATGACTGAGAGAAATCAGAAGAATAATGGGCTTCTGGAGAGAGCCTAGAGTGGGCTTGGAGTTTGCAGGAGCATCTCTGCTTCTCTCTGCCAGCTGAGAAGAAAATAAGATGTTTATTGAGTAAGGGTCAGGTGCTAAGCTTATTTTAAAACGGAAAGAAATATTATATTTATTAATGTTTGTATGAAGAACACTCTTCTACCTATGCGAGGAAAAAACCCCAATTCCTTGTGTCTTTTACAAGGAAAAGGACAAAATCCAGAAAAAAGAAAGGTCACCAGAGGCTTTATTTCCAGATGGCTGTTGGATAAAATGAGGTTTTTCTCTCCCATCTCTGCTGCTCCCAGACAATTTGCCATGTGTGCACCCATGTTTCCTGTGCATCCCAATGAACTCATTGGTCACCACTCCTCACAAAACTTGGAAAATGTCTGATTTCACTCTCCCTTTGGTCAAAAGCAGCCAGGAGGGCTCAGACATTTTTTCAGGAGGCTGAGGGGTGCTGGGATGGGATCTGTGACAGGTTCTCCCAGGCATGACTTTTCTGACAGCTCATGAGCAGAAACCCAAGGGTTGTTATTTTGTTTAAACACAAAGGGGATTTCAGTTGTGACAAAACTGATCTGCAGTGGGTCTGCCTCAAAGTCCCTGGCCCCAGAGACAGGAGATTCAGATTTTCCAGCCTGGGAGAAGGAGGACACAGCAGGCAAAGCTGTCACTGCAGTTGTCAGGGACAGGGCCTGGCTCTGTCAGCACACGGTGACAAAACTGCCACAGGCCACCAGCTCTCAAAAACCTCATTTCATCTCTCCTAGCCTGGAAGGCTCCCAAGCAAATCTGAGAGGTTTCAATGTGCTGTTGACATTTCTGGAGCCTCAGGGCTCTGTGGTAGTGCAGCTAGAATGGATGTCTGGGTGCAGAGGCCTGGATGAAAAGAGCTGGATGCTTGTGCAGGGAAAGGGCTTGAGAATGCGAGGCTGGGGAAAACCAAGTGCCTGAGAGCCCAGATTTAGGTAAAATGGCATCTGAAAGTAGGCCTATACTAATCTTTCCCGTTCCTAAAGGAGTGGAATGGCGCTGTGGAGAGCAGGCCTCAGCCCTGGCAGCAGCTGTGTTGGGGTTTCTCTGCTGAGCCAGCACTGCCAGCAGCCCTTGCTGAGCAATGTTCACTCTCAGGGCTGCTGCCACATCTGAGGGTTGGAAAGGAGCTGCCAGGGAGGCTCCGTGCCAGGCAGGGCTGCCAGGAGAGAGCTCAGGCCTGGCCCAGGCAGAGCTGCTCAAATCCCAGGTGCTGTCCCTGAGGGCCTGGATGCCTGTGTGAGCAGGAGAGGCCCCCACAGAATCCCTTTGGGAGGTGCCCAGTGCTGCTCACAGCCCAAACTGCACTGTGGGCAGCTGTTCCAGTGTGTTTTACTAAGGAATTCCTGGGCATTGGGGCTGGGCAGTGGCTGCTGCCCTGAGTGAGCATCTGCAGAGATGTCAGGGGAGCAGAGCAGAGTGCCTGGTGCCTTCCCAGGACAGTGGATTGCCACAGCCCTCTTCCAGCGCTGCATTACAGTGTTTCACTGCAGGGAAGGGAGGATGGGCTGGGGCCATGGGCTCCTGGGATTGTGGTCCAAGCTGGGAGCCCTGCCATGGGGACCAGAGGTGACAATGGCCCTGCATGGACACACTCACAGACCTGTAGACCTGAGGTTTCCAGTGATTTCCCTGCCTTTGATGGACTCCCTGAGCCAAGGCTTTATACACACTGCAGGATTTTCCATGAGGTTAAAACCTTTCATTAGCCTGAGGGATGGGAGACCCTTCAAAAATCCCAATCCAGCCATTCCTCTGACAAACAGCCCTTGATTCCCACCATGTCAGGGACCTGCTCAATGTCAGAAGGACTTTCCAACCTCAGGAAGCCCCACCTGCACCCCCACTGTTAGCAGGGAGGGCAGAGCCTCCCTTTGCCTTCAGGCACTGCACACCAGTGGAAAAATCTTCCAAAAAGGCTCCCAGCACTGTTGCCTAGTGCTGGGCTGAGCCCCTGAGCCCAGCTGGGGCTTGCACAGTCTCCATAGTGATGGATTGCATCTCTGCAGGCAGGCCAGGGTGGCCTGGGCTGCAGGAGCAGGAATGAGCCAGGCAGAGACAGAACCTGAGCAGGGCAGAGCTGCCCTGTGCTCCCACAGCCCCTCCTGCTCTGTATTCAGGGCCAGCAGGGATGCAGAATTCCCCTGCCACTCAAACAAGTGATTCCATGGAAAATGGGACTTCCCTGGCCACCAGAGCTGATCCAAATGCAGGAGTGATGGGGCTGAGGATGAAAATCCTGCTGGTGTTTGCTGGTGCCTGTGCTGAGCAATCCTGGCAGGAGCCAGGGATGTGGCACCCACTGAGCCCTCTCAGGGCCTGTGCTCTGGGGTGCTTCTGCTGCATCCTGTGGGACTGATTTAGGGCTGCTCAGCATTACAGGGAAGGCAGGATGTCAGGAGACAAACACCCTCCTCATTTGTGTCCTTGCTGGGAGAGCCTGATGCTGTGTGCTCACCAATTCCTTCTCTTCCCAGCCCACCCTTTGCTCAGAAGATTTTCCAGTGAAAGAGAGCAGCTTGTGTGGACAGGATCATCCTTACCTGCAACCCCTTTGAATTAAGACACCAAACCCCAAACCACTGCCAGGCTGAGAACCTGATTGCTTATTTATTTATTTATTTATTTATTTATTTATTTATTTATGTGCCTCCCAGGCTGAGGATGGGGTTACACAGCAATTAGGGAAGGTCACACTCACCTCTTCAAAGGGCTGCTGGCACCTCAGAAACAATTCTTTACAGGGGTTTCACACTGCCCATCCTCAAATCCTTTCAGGCACGGTAAATAAAACCTTAAAAGGCAACTTCTTCAAGCCATTGTGGTTTGTACTTTGTGCTGGGGTGATGAGGGGCAAGAAAGGCAAACTGCTGGCAATTACCCGTGTCACAGTGTCACACTCTGCCAGCACCATGGTGACAGCCCTGCTCAGGCCCAGGTACTGACCTGGAAACATGAGACGGCTCTGGGGGGGTTCTCGTCTTTGAAAGAAAAAGTAATTGATGCCTTGGAGTGGCTGCTGTGCCTTCAGAAACTGAAAGAGCTACTGACTGTGCAGTATTTTTTAATAACCAGTCATGTAACCCGAGGGTTGCAGTCATGAATTCATGTATTTTAATAGACATGAATCTTATTGCTCCTTAATAGCTGAAAATCCTTGTGCTCAACTCCCCCCTATTTCTTCCAGCCTTCCCAAAACAGCTGTGCTTGAGCAGAGGGCTTAGACAAAAAATAAGTATTAGGGATGGCTTGTCTCAGATAAGGCAGGACAATGCTTTGGCTATCCTTATCTTTCCCTTTGAGCCTCTCTCCAAGCAGTGGCTGATGCTGGTTTTAGTGGTTTAGGCGGGTCTGTGCACCACTTGAGGGTGGAAGGGCTGCTCCTGTCACATGTCTAAAGGCACCACAGGACTTGGCAGGACTCCTGATCCCCAGTGGTTGGTGACATTCATGTACGTGCAACTTTGTCCTCAAAAACTGTGCCTTCTGCAAAATTGTACAAAGCTTCCTGATTGCTGCTTCCCCCCTGTAATTTGTGCACATCTGAAGGATAGTTATACTCCTGGGGTTGCATGAAGTTTATATTTTAAAGTTCAAAGCTTCTGCTGAGATGCTTTAGCTAAGAGAAGCAAATTTTGTTGGCCGTGATGGTGAGAGGTACAAGGGGGCAGTGAAAGGGGGCAGGAGGGCTTGGGGCATGGCAGATGTCCTTGTCTGGGGCAGGGACATGAAGGGAAGAGCAGCCACAGGTTGTAAAACCTCTTGCAGCGACAAGCAGGTTGCTAGAGAGCCAAAATGCAGGAGAAATCCGTGGACAGGCTGCTCTGTTGCTAGGTGATGGATCTGTTATCATGCTAATGACAGTGAAGGATGAGAGTGCCACCAATAAAACATCTTTCATCTGAGAATCACCAAGGGTTTTCCAGACAGCAAGGCTGTATTATTCCCATTTACTAGAGGCACAGACAGAGATGAATTGATTTGCCAAAGGTCACTGACGGATTTCGGAGTAAGAAATTGCCCTATTTGAGTTTTATTAGGCTGGGGATTGCCATAAACCCTTTCTTTGCCATCAATCCTCTCCCCTCCCCTCATCCATCACCCCCACACCCCTCTCTCTAGAGGGGACATGATCCTGCCTTGTCACTCTTGTCCTGTTTAGATCACAGGATCCCCTGGCCCTCGAGCGTGGCTGGGCAGGGGGTGTGGAGGGCAG